TTTTTTTTTTTTTTTTGCCTTGTTACACAGAGAGCGGGTTTGTATAATATGACAAGCCATAGAGGTTTTTAGCACAGGTTGGTCTTTCATGTCATCTGAACCCTACCATGGTATTTCAGCAAACTACATTTGGGTTTTTAGAGGCCATGAACAGAAAGAGTGGTGCGTTCCATGACTTGCATGCTTCACCATAGTTTCTCTGGTTGTCTGAAGGCAGCACTGTGGTATGACCCTGGTATGCAAGGTAGAGCCTGCAGGAATGTATGATGGAGCGGTGGGAATCAGGCAGTGATACTTGCTAGGACAATGAGTGAATTACAGACATTCCTTCACTTTAATTGGAGTGCGTGTATTCTATTCATTGGGTCTACATTGCGGATGGGAAGAAACTAAAGTCTAATAATAGCATGATTGAATAATTGTTACTCGTGTGAATACATGGTTCTTTTATGTCACTCTGATCAAATGGGTTTTATATTACTTCAGAAACCTGCAAAACCAGTCCAAAGACAACAGCCAAACTAAACAGATGGGTTCATATCTCATGGGCAGTGAATTATAAATGGTAACCATGTAATTGCATCAGCAGTGATCTCTCTATTATATTACTTTCAACTGTCTTAAGCAGTAGCTGTGTTCAGTCTTCAGCTAACTGTGCCCAGACTTAGCTAGGTGATTTTGCTTAGAGTTTCTAAGCATGACTGTGAATAAACATGGTTGTCTGCCAGACTTCAGTAATATGAACTTCCATTCAGGAATTAGTAAATTAGTAAATGTCAGGAGACTGGATTAGAAACAAGGGAGGGACAGTTATTGCTATTTATTTCTGCTAATTCTTCTGGACTGCATTGCCTCTGACCTCCTTCTTCATGAGTTACCAGCTTCAGATAAAGTCATTTCAAAAGGCAGTTTATTTCTCTTTATGCCCTCTTGCATTACACAGTATGTTTTAAAGTTTTGCTCTGATTCGATCTGATAATCTTGGTACTAAAGTCTAATTAAGATATCAATTAATTTGCAGCCTGCATTTAAAAAGAGCTATCTAGTTGTTCTCTATTATTCTCTGAAATTGCTGCCAAAGTCTTTTTGTACAGATACCTTAATTAGACTTTTTATTGTTAATGGGAATATTGAGCAAATTAAAATTGGATATTAATACTTTCCATGATTTTCATAATTAGCTGAAGTAATAAAGCATTCAGAATAACTGTAGCAGCTTGTGTACAATTTTACTTCTATACAAATTCACAGGAATCTTTACACATTCCTTAACAATAGAGTCTTGAAAGTCTCTCATTAATTTAAATATTTATTAATTTATTAATCACAAAAAGCTGGAACTAACATTTCTCCTCCTTATGCAGATCCTTCTAGTGTATTAACTGCTACTAATCACTGTAATTAAAAATAACTTTTAAGGAAAGTAACAAAGATTTGAAATTCAACGCAGTTCTCTTCTAAAAAGCTCATGTTTTCAAATGGCATGTCTACAAGATTATAAGTGAGAACGAAGGAAATAGACTTACCTGATTTTTTCCCAAACTGCTCAAAGGATGAGTGACAGATTCAAAGTAGAGGCATCTCTCTATCCATCTGTCTATAGATAGATAGTGTGTATGTATGTGTAAAAGAGAGAAAGGAATGTCTATTTATGCTTCAGTATATATGTTTTAAGAAACCAGGGAGGGGGACAACCTGCACTGCTATAAGGTATAAAAGTATTTTATGGGGTTCAATAAGGCCTTTTCATCTGTGTCTGTAGTGGTCCTCTGACTACAAAATGGGATCAAAAATGTTTTTAAATAATCAAATGAGCTGTCTGAGCAGAATCCACACAACTGCATTTCTAAAACAGAAGGTGGCCACATTGTCCACATGGACGCATTGGCCACGGTGTCCTCTTGCCCTTCCAAGGCTATGGTGATTACAGCAATAGGATACTTGAAGGGGTAGGGCAGTGTGAAGGGGAATAATTGCTCAGATCCTTTTGATTCAGGTGAAGAAGGGCGCTCCTGAATGCCTTGTACCTGGTCCATCGTGTACCCTAGTGAAAGTCTTTGTGCCCTTTGGTGCAATAAGTACCATCTCATTGCACGTACACATTGCTTTGGCACTGGCCCAAGCTGCTCCATACTGAATGCAGTCTTGCTTAAGGATTTCAGACTGAACTTTGCCCCATTATCTTGTAGATTTCAACAGCCTAATCTGTTGAACACCTTATGTTACACAAATTACCATTCATTGCTTATTGCTACTGAAGACACTGTTTGTTGAATTGTCAGAAAGAGGGTGCTTTAACTCCAATTCAAAATAATGTATATATTAAAAAAGTTGTTGTAAAGTGGAATTATATCCTTTGATGACTGTTTTTAAAGTGCTTTAGGTTTTCATGGTAATTTGCAGTATGAAATTATTTAGAGATACGAGCCAAATTAGCTCTTAAAGGCGGGAGGTCGATATGTCCTGTTATCCATGCAAGCAGTGTTTAAATATAATCAGCCTTTACTCTAATGCAGCATAATTGTTCATTTGAAATAGCTTTTTTTTATTCCATTCAATGAGTCATTAAAATATTCAAAAGATAATGCAGTGAATTAGAAATAAATTTATCACATTATCCTGTGTATACTGAGTATCAAGTAACTCGGCAGAGAGAGAGATTTTGTGCTGCCATTTTAAAATTCTGTAGAAAGAAGGGCAGGGAGAGGATAAATTATGTCTTGAAATTCTGTTTTGACCCATTCCCAATCAGTGGGTGTAAAAGAGAGAAGCAAAAGAAACCTATCCTCTCCTAAGCTGTGTTTTAACATTGTTTTATTAGAAGAACAGGAGAATTCCTGCATCACAATTCTTTCTTGTCACCTAGTGAAATAGGGGAGAAATAAGGTTAATAAGCAAATAGAAAATAGGGTTACTAGCAGGTTGGAGCAGGCTATTTGCACTGACACTGAGACTTTGAAGTCTCTAGGGAGAAGCCTACATAGATGGTGG